CGCGGTGGCCCAGGCTCCCTGCCCTCCCGCTGCCTTTCATTCGTGTTTGACCTCTGCCACCGTGGACGAGTCCACCTCGAGTCCTGCTGTCTCCAGAAGAGATTTGCCTCTTCCCAACATGTCCTAGAAACCACCTCCGAGCACGGGGCACTCATCGCCAGATCACCCTTGTCCTTCAGCGCTCAGTCCTTCGAGCTTTTACCCACCGAGCCCCACGCTCAGCTTCCTCTCTTCCCTTTACAGGTACGATCCCTTTTTAACCATCCTTCTTCCCTCCCCGCGCCTCTGCCCCAAGGTGACCTGACTTCAGATCAGTCCTTAATTCAACCCTTGCATGTGCCTGCTAAAGCTGGTAATTTCATCAACCTTGGAAGATCCCTGATTTTCTTCATCCTTAACCTATTTAGGGCACCCCTTCGTCAGCTGTTCCTCAACGTAGCTCTCTGCACGCCAAAAAGACGTATCTCTGAGAACTTCTGGAACAAAAGAATTGGCAGAAAATCCTGCCCCCTGCCCCATTTTATCTGCTCTTCCAAATGCTAAATTAGCGCTTTATTAACTTCCAAAAGATTCCGATGGAGCCGATTTTGTCAGAATGACTGGGTGATGTTTTTATGAAAGCTCACTAAAAATGGATGGTTACTCACTATCGATGAGTTTCCCTTTCCTTTTTTTCAACAATTCAATAGTGTCATATCCTGAACTGCAAAGGAAATTAAGTGTCACCTCTCTCGTTCGTTATTTCTAACGCAGGCTGAAGTTCTGCACTGGCCCCCAGCACTGACACGTAACAGCGTCACTGCATTCCATTGGACCATTATATTCCCATGTCTGCAGATTTTTATTAAGATATTTTATATTTTCCTTTCTTTTGTCTCTATTTCTGCTGTTTAAACTAAGCACAGAAATACCTGCTGGTGGAAAATAAAGCCCGGTACGAGCCTCCGCAGAACATCGTGGCAAAAGGCTATAAAAATACTGTGGGTTTCTCAAAGGAAAGACTACGTGAGACTACTAAAGTCTTCTTTTTTCCATTTAATGCTTTTCTTTAAGCCTCTTACATATGACACCTGGGAGAAAAGATGAATCCTGGCAAGGCAAGATCTGGATGGAAATGAAGAAACAAAGAGGCTGGCTTGGCCAGGACAAACACACTCTTTTTCAACAATACACACCTGAAGGGCTCTTGCAGAGTATTTCTAGATGTCTGACACAAGCAAGAGAACAAACACACGAATCTACAACCAATTCCTTAAAAAACAAGACCCAGAAAGACAAAGCTGCTGCTCTTTTCTCTTTATTCTAACCTCACTATGATAATTGCTCCTGAGAAGACACTTCTTGCTCAGTTGTGAGCTCTCAGTTGCTATAGAAATTGCAGTCATTCTCTTAAAACTGATTTGGAGTTTGTTTGTGGGTCCATTAACATATTTCAATCAGTTTAGCACAAGCCTTCAACAGCAGGACCTTCACGAATGAGTGGGAATATGTTCGGGACTGGTATGCAGCGCATTTTTAAAATTGCAGCATTTAAGTCTCTTAAATGCAAGTCTTTATTCAAAACTTTCCAGGCATTTAATGGATAATTACACCAAATTTGCAGCAAACTGCAGTTTTATTGTGGGAAAAGTGGGGGATGAATTCTCAGAGGAGCATTTAGCAGCAAAGGTCACAGATTTGTATTACAAGGCTGTTTTTCTGACAAAGAACATATTTATATCAAACACTGGATAGCACTCGTGGATAAAAAACCCCCAACAAAACAACAACTTCTGTTTGAGTACTAGAGGAACGGCAAAGCCAGGTCTTTTGAAATTGGGTTTACCCAAGGCTCTCCAAAAGCTCAGCATATATTGCCCTTCACATATATAAATATGGAAGAAAATACATATATTTATACACACACACACACAAACTTCGTAGCCTACGAACAGAAGAATAAAATTTAACCTTGATATTATACATGTAACTCCAGGCCAAGCTAAGAGAATAGCTCGAAGAGCACATACGTACCTACAGTGAACCACAATTGGTCCAGCGTGGGCAGTATTCAATGTTTTCACCTTTTTCAGGAATTTCAGCATCCCAATAGGTGTGAAAGGCACCCCGAAATCAGGCCAGCTGGTGAAGTGAAGCTGCGTAACGAGCCTTGGAGCTTTACAACCGTCATGAAGCTGCAGGGAACACACAGATTCCGAGTCTGACATTTCACTTTGCATGCGAAGGTTTACAAACAAGCTGCTGTGGTTATTTACGACTGGAATTCCTGCAACACTTAGAGCGTGACTCAAGGATTAGAAGTTTACAGTCTATGTAAAATAGAAACGCAGAGTAAAACTCCCACATATTATTAAAATGCATCTTTGCAGTGAAAACTAGAATAATCCCAGCGTGGGGATTGCATAGAGTAAGATTCACCATGTTAATAACGGAGCGAATCTTAAATCCTTTTTCACTGACAGAATCCTCACGCCACTTCTTTCAGCAACCTCAGGAGACATTCCCCAAATTCAGGGTCAACATTCAAGGACCCGCATCGCTACGAATGCCAGCTTTTGCCATACCACGTATGAAAAATGCCCCTCTAACGGCCGCCTACTGCCAGGTTCATGAGCTGACCTACCCTTCAAGAATAAGAGAAGACACCACAGAAGCCACGACAGCAGAGCTCGCCATCGTTTCACCTGCGTTCACGACCCACAACCCGTCCTTACGGTTAGGAAGCAGACCTGTCCCACAAGCTTTCCGTCTGTTCGCCACGGTCAAGGCCAATCCTCCCAAACTGGAGAGAGCCAGTTGGGTTTTGTAAGGTCACCTTGTCCTCCGCAACGGGTAACCAACCCCTACAGACACGCACCCCGCAGAGATCAACAAGTGAAAGGCAGCCACGTCCATCCATAAACTTCTCAGCCCTTCAGCTCCGTATGTCTCGGTCCTGTTCCTTCTTTCCCATCCCGCTTTCCGGGCGCAGCTTCTCCGACCATTTTCCTCAGCGATGCCTTTGCAGCCATCACTAGTCACACCAAAGCGATCTCCACGCTCGCTCAGCAGAAACTGCTTCACATTGTCAGCGTCTGCAACTAATGCGAACGAACCCACCCGTATTTTGAGGGGTTCTGAGCTCTCCACGTAGTTCTGCCCAGCTACACGTGGTGTGCCGCCTCTCACCAGCCCATCTTCTCTTCAGCCGGAATCAGGCAGCCATTGCACCCCAAACACAGCAGCCCTCCCTTTAGGGGGCGAGGATCTCTACCAATTTGCTCCCCTACGAGGCGACGCACCGTGGGCACCAGCAAAGTCATCCCCACCCCCTCCCTTGTGACCTAAAGCTTCGACTTGTGCTGGACACCAAGGATCCAACAGGAACCAAGCTGTCATGCTGCCTCACACTGGCCAACTAACATCCACGGACTACTCCGAACACCCAGACACATCCAAATTCCCTCATTTATTTACTTACACAATTTGTCCCCAAAAAGGGCAAGGCACCGGTCCCACGCTCCCTCCCTGACAGTCACAAGGAACGACTTTCGGTGGCCCTTGGCTACAGACAAGAGGAAAGCCAGCAGAACCTCTGGCCATCCCTGAAACCGCAGCGGATGCCACGCGTGCTGACCCGCAGAGCTCGTTTCCCTGCCTAGGAGAGCTGCCACGTCTACCTCGATTTGCAAACAAGTTTAACAAAATTCCTGCATTTCTTTCAAGCAAAGCCTTGCCGTTGTAACAATCTGCTTTAAAAGCTGAAACGAAGCCCCAGCGAGAGCGTTGCTGTCACTCACCGACTGAACGCAGAACTTGCGGACGGTGTAGTCCACCAGCACTATGCAATCTTCCACCGACACGCGGATATTTCCGTAGGTCCAGCACCCTTGGTCAGGCCAATACTGGTAACATTTTTCCTGTACAATCACACAGGGAGTTCGCTGAAATTCTGTGCAGGGTTAGTGACACAGGACGCAGCGTTTCTCATCAGGCCCAACACAGCTTTAACACTTCGCTGGTGCTATTGAGGCTTAAATTTAGGCAGCGAAGGTGAGAATAGCTTTGAAGCTGGTTTTTTCACACAGACAGACCTAAACAGCTTTTGGTTTAGTTTGGTTTTTTTTCTTTTTTTTTGTTAGGGGGGGCCTAACTGTGGGGACTGTGACGTCTCGACTCTTACTGTTAAGCTTTAGGTGTGGGAAACGGAAGGCAGTCCTTTGGAGCCATCAGAACACCCCGATTTAACAGTTGTGGCTTCTCCTGTCGGGAAGGGGCTGTTCTTACCGACTGCCTCTGCTGCTTGAGCTGCACCAAGCCACGCTACAACTGCGCTAAAACAAAGCCAAAGGCCCACGGCGGCGAGGCAGACAAGGAACGCCCGTCCTCGCATCTGCGGGCAGCTGACAGCACCCGAGTGATCTTTCCATTAGTGTAAAAAACGGCACAAAATAGGGACGAAGGCCAACTGTGACACCGCGACACAGCACATCACGTCTCACAAGCGTGTTCTCATCGCCTTCCCAAGGCCAGCTATTGCTGCTTAGCCCCATAGTTCCCCCCCTGGCAGGAGAGGGCACCCCTGGGGCCTCCTGGCTCTCCAGCACTGGGTGGCTTCTGCTGCCTCCTCCTCCTCACTCCCACAACCACCGGGGAAACAAGTTGTTTCTTCTCAGATGTAAGTTTTTGAGGACTTTCTATATAGTTCGAATAAGGACGTAGCATGCTCAGTGTGGCAAACTGTCCTCCAGGGGAAAAGAAAATAATTAAAAAGTATCTTTTATGTTTCTGATGGTACAACTTCCTCAATATTTTAACTGAGCTTCTCAAGTCTGCGAAGCAGGAACGAAGTTAAATGTTCCACGCTTGTCGTGTGCATCTCGGCACCCAGGCAGCACACGCAGAAATTCTCACCCATCGGGAGGAGCCAGACATGCACGAGGGAAAAATCGGGGGACGGGACGGAACAGCCTCACTTTCACAAGAAAGGTTGGGTTTTTTAGTTGTTACGTGCATGTGCCAGGAAGAATTTTGAAACCTCACTATCAGAAAAAAATGAATAAAGTTCTTATCTTCATTTCTAACCAAAGGCACCCACAAGTGCAGCCTCACACCGCGATAAACACGCAGGCACGAGAACCGGCCTTCGGGTATGGGCTAGGGCAGGACCACAGGCGCCATCAGCATTTCCCCCTCGAGATCTGCGCGTTTAAGTTTGTATTTTGGAAATTAAAACTACAGTGACGAGCAGCCGCTCAGGTGTGCTAACAGGGACTGGAGAAGGAAGCGGTCAGGAAGGCGACCGGGCAGACGCCAAGCAGCCACGGCTGCTTTTGGAGCACGCTCTCGCAGAGACATCCCCGAGCAAAGCCGGAGCTCTTTACCTCCTTCCTTTCCTTCAGGTTGGTCAACATGACGATAACGGCCGACTTCTGCTCCCAAATCATCCTCCAGAAATCATTGACTGTTTCTTGCTTCGGTCCTGCAGACAGAACACGGCTCTGCTCAAGGCGGGGATGGAGACCAGCAGAACGCGCTGGACTGTGTTTGACACAGACCGCTCAGGTTCTGAACAGACCACGGGTTTCTTAAAAAATCACATCGTGTTTTCTTTTACACAATCATATGCGCTCAACCCCGCATTTCTAGCGGATGTCTCCTCTCTTGAAATATTACTGATGCTCTTTTAAGCAGGCTAGGGCAGGAGCACGGCTTGGGACCTCTGCTTTGCAGCTCTCCGAGGTCCAACATCGCCTGCGAACCGCCGCCGGGGAGCTGCTCGCCGTGCCGCGCGGGCCAGGAGCGTTTCTGAAGGGTGGGGGCAGCTATTGCTTTGTCTCTGGGATTGCGGTGACAACGGTCCCCAAATTTGTGACTAAATACAGCAGAAGCCTTCGTGTGAAAATGCTAATTTCTGTATCAGGACCGCTTAGAGGGAATGTATTATCAGGAGACGTCAATTTTCAAACCCCCAGTAAGGAGGTGAAATAAAAAAAAAAAAAAGACGAGCCTCTCTGCTCAGAGCAGCGTCTGCAGGTCCAAAAGCAGTGGGTTACCTCACGCTCAAGGGGAAGGCGAGCCTCTCTGCTCAGAGCAGCGTCTGCAGGTCCAAAAGCAGTGGGTTACCTCACGCTCACTTTAATTTCATGTCAACTCTAACCTCTAAGTCCCACCTCACGTTTGGCCACCCCCTGCAGCCGAAAATAACCTTTTAAAACATGTCTAAAATTAAGTATGTTCAGCCATAAGAGGTACAGAACAGAGAAATGAGAATAAATTACCTTGTGCTGCTATAAATTTATTCTTTTCTTTATAACCCTATGGAAATAAATATCGTAGCAGTTAAAAGGTGACACGGCAACACACGCTAGCAGAAAAATACTTAAATTCACAAAGTTTGGCCAACAGCGGACGACTGTCAACTTACATCTATATAGGACGCATTAATGTAGTCTGAAGGTGGGACTCCATCGATTTGGGTCAAAATCACTCTGGAATGATCATCTGGAAGAAAACACACGACAAGCATGTTCGCAGGGGAATCAATCCGAAATAGGCTGCTTCCCCGCCAGCAGGAGGCCAGGCCAAGCACACGCTTCCCAAACCAGCTCTCTCCTGTCTGGTCCCTAGTTGTCACCAAGAAACTTTCTCCCCAAACATCTTGCTTTGCTCCCACGCCTGGAGGTCGCCGGGACTGCAGCTCTACGACTCTGGAAGCCCAAATTTCTCCGTATTTGCTTGCCCCCACCGAACCCGAGACCCTAAAACATCCACTTGACAGTGTCATTCGGTAGAACCGCATGAGAGCTCAGGTTTTACAGCGCAGAGCCTGGCAACTGCTACGGGAAAACCTAACAGGAGGAGGTCAAAACTAGAGACGTGCCACAAAACAGACAGGTTTTGCTCATACAACGTACGAAGAACACTTGTGACCAGGGAAATTGTGTTACTTGAACGAACGCTACTGCCAGCCCGCTCAGCGCCACAGGTAACGGTCTGACGGAAAAGGTAATGTCTTACACGGCAGGATGTTAGGATATCTGTTTTTCTCCCTGTTTTCTTCCTTATTTGCCATTTCAAACGTCCCCTGCACATATCCAGGTGTTAATGACTGGAAAAAAGAAAAATACAGAAGTCACTGTGTTAGAAAACAGCTAACTCTTGACTGCACACGGCTTGGGGAAAATCTGCATTTATACACATTGCCTTGCATCCAACAGAACGGAACATACTTTATTTTTTTCACAATAACTTTCATCATAACAGGGAACTATGTCCTGGCAGATTTCGCTACAGAAAACGACTTCAGCAGTTTTGGAAAAAGAAGTAATTTTTCCACCAGAGATTGCAGTTTTGGAAAAATAAGTCATTTTTCCCACCAGAGACCGCAGTTATTTAGAATATTGTTAAAGCTCTGAGCTGCTGCTTTAAGCTGCCATCTGCGGCGGTGATTCACAGCGCCGTGACCCAGCCGCGCTTGCGATGCGCCGCTCCCTCGAGCTCGGCTCCGACAGATACTTTTAGCAATACCAGTTGGTTCGACAGCATAAATCGTTTCATTGTTAATTGCTCGCTGCTAAGAATGTTAAATATCAAAGCGCCGAGATCCGCAGGTGAGGGCCCAAGTCTGGCAGAAAGGGAGGACGAAAAAAGAAGAAATCACAACTCTTGTACGCTGAAAGTCGCTGTGCGAGCACGAGTCAAATTCTGCAAGCAGTCAGCAAGATCTAAGGCTGTAGATAAATTTAGTCAAGCTTAGAAAAAAAAAAAAAAACAACCCCAGTCTTTCAGAGCAATCAAATGAAAGGAAGAAACGGAGAGGAAGAGGGCGAAGATGAAAACCAGGAGGTGCACGAGGTGGAGCCCCTCCGCCGCAGAAGCTGCTGAGATGCCACCACCGGGGCCGAGCTCGGGCTGCGGCGGAGGGCACGGGGCAGGGGAAGAGTCGGCGAAGGCACCGTTCATCCGGAGACGCGGCACCAGGCTCCTCCTTAGCTGCCCCCTCCCTGCAAATGGCGCCCAGGAGAACCGAGCCTCATCGCGTTTCTTGGGCTGAACTTCTAAAAAACCCAGCGTCAGCCCGTGGGATCCCACCGAGGTAAAATCCCAGTGGTTTGGGAACGCACAACCGCCTTCTCCCCGCCGCCTCCCACCTCCCACCGCCCAGTCTGAACCACGTGGGGGAAGGGGACAAAATGGCAACCGACTGTGCGGCTTACGGCAGCTATCCCCACTGGCCGGGCAGAGAGCAGGGCTTGGAGTTTCCCCTTAAACGCAGCAATCCGTGTTGTCAGGGTGACACAGGATGAAAGGGGGGGCGCGGGGAGGACTTCACCACCACCACAGAGGAAACAGCAACGTGCATTTGTGGGTTTGGTTTTGGGGTTGTTTTTTGTTTTTTTTTTTTTTGGTACCGCTTCAACTTGTGAATGTTCAGTAACAGAAAGCAGAGAGGCAGTTAAAAAAGAGCTGAAAAGGAAAGCTGCTTTTAGCAAACTGCTTAATTCCTTATTTGAATGAAGCCCGTGGTTTTGCTAATTAAAATACGTTTAGAATTTATAAACCACAGAAACTTCATTTATGTTTTGCAACAAAAGAAATAATTAGCGCTTCAAACGGGATTTCTTTGAATTCCAAAAGTCAGGCAACAAATTCCCAATAAACAATCATACGTAAGTTCTGCATCTTCACGTGAAAAGTAGTTACCTCTGGCCAAATGATCTCGCCATTCCCTGCTCCTTCCTCCTGCAAGGCCCTGGCATCTCCCTGAAAAACTTCCTACGGTCACGCTGCCCTCCTTAGAGCGGGTGTTGAACCCCAGCGCGAGGCCACAGCCCGAGGTGCTGCTCCCACCCCACGTCAGAGGGGAGGATGTGATTCATCACGTCCTCTCCATCACCCCATGAATCACGAGGAGCCCATGAGTCTTGGTGGCCACCGCAGGCTTATCTGCTCCCACTTCCCAGGAATCCTAAAATCTCTCTGGTGCTTCCAAGGGGCTCAATCTACCCCAGCATCGGCGCGTTTTCTCCTTTTTTTTTTTTTTTTTTTAAGTTTGTGTTTTGGGTTTTTTCCCACTGCATGAACCACAGTGACGTCTTGATAATCAAGTCAAAATTAAAATTTCAAAAGCAAATTCTTAGAGGACGGTTTTCAGACACTAATCGGAAAATCAAGGCAATAAACCAACCACCACAGACTTCAAACATCCAGCTTATCTTGTGTTACGGATGATAAATAGAAGTAAGGGCCCACACAGAAAGGAATACGTAGGGGGTTTTTTCTTCTTTTTTTTTTTTTTTTTTCTTTTTCTTCTCTTTAGAAAGAACACACTCTACGCTCACAAAGAAATCAAAAAAATTAGAAAATGAAGCAGCTGAGGGTAGAAGGAGCCTCTGCTATTTTGGTTAGTGTACAAGTGCAACAAGCGCAATGCGCTTAAGGGTAATGTCGGATTTACAGATAAAATCAAAAGTATTGAAGAACACCACCAGGCCCATAAATCTACGAGAACTGTCCTCAAAAATCCTTTCTATCTGCTGCATGTCTTCATCTATCAGCACTTGCTTTGTTTTTCTTTTCACCAGAAAAATCGCCTGGGACCTAACTGTGGCTGGCGCACGGGCCTGGCCACCGCTGCCTCGCAGGACTCGCCATTTTCGGCCTAAACCCATTTCAAATCCACCACGGGGACCCTGCATCCGCCTTCCCGGCGACGCCTGACCCCCCGACGCGTTCGATCAGGCTGCATGAAGCAACAACGGCAGCGGGCAGAGCTCCCCCAGCGCATCCCCGTCAGCCGAACATCCCCAGCCCAACGGCCCCAGCCAGGGTCCGCAGCTCCCGCCCAACGGCTCGTGCAAAGGGAACGGCTTTGGAGCCATCGAAAACCCGCGGGATTCGGCAGCTACGGCTTCGAGGGGCCGAGATACAGAAGGGGTGGGAGGATGGAGCCGAGCGCAGGGCTTCTGCGAGCTGGGGGTGCTCTGAAGGAGAGGTCATCACGCAGATGTCTGTGCTGAACGAAGGGTCTTGATTTCTCAGCCCCTTCCCCTCCAGTGCTGCAATAACAGACTTCTGCGTGTCGGCTGTCCTGGTTTATCCTACAATATCACTCACGCTTGCTTTTCAGCCGTCTTTCACCCTTCCCTCCCCTCTCAGGCTTGAGCAAACAGCTCATGTATCCACGCAAGCAGCCACAGGAGACACAGCAGGGAAGAAAAACCCCACGGAACGCATCCAGCAGGGTTTATGTACCATCGCCCCGGGTCACCGCTCACCTACGGGGTTTTCAGACTCGGCGCCTGTCTGCGGACAGAAACTCCCAGGCTCCCAGCATGGGGCAAGAAAAGGATGCAAGCAAAGCAGGTTTTAGAAATAAAAATAAACGGCTTGTTTCGCTCCTGACTGCGGAACGAATTAATCAGGGGAGTCAAAAATTCACAAGCGCACATCTCGTCAAATTAGTTCTCACATTCATTTTGTCGACTTTGATAAACAGCCCCACAATGCTCCCTCTCTGATAAGGCAAAGAAATTATGCGTTTTAAATATATCATCAAACAAACGGCAGATATAAATACGCTACCAATTAAGAAGGTAACTTAACAGACTGTCTAATTGATGCGTGCATTGGCTTTGACAACTCCGTATTTGACATTTAAGTGACTGCTCTGTGCAACTTGCTTCTGCTGTGAAGGGAAAAGAAATCATAAAAGTACGGAAAAGGCCCCTGAACGCAGACGTGTGAGAGCAGACTCATCACGCCGGGTTTCTCCATAGAAACCAGCTCTGCAGCAGCTCGCCACAGACTCCGGTTAAGACTCATCCACACGACCACACGCAACTGAAGCTCAGCTTATGGGCAGAAAATAAAACCTCCTTTCTGACCAAGGCATTGCCTTAAGGAAAAAGCCTTAGAGCTGAGATACTTCATAAAAACATAGGAACAGGGAAGCGATGGGACGCTAATAAACAGCAAAAGGTCAAATTACCGAAAACCCCCTAAAATCCAAACCTCACTAGGACAATATTAAAAGCCACAGTGTGTCTCCTCCTCTAAGTACTTCCACAGAGGTGTGAGACTCACACTACTAAAAAACCCTCCACCACCACCAAGAAAGTCAGTGCTAAAGAGATCCATATTCAATTTTCCTTCCTCCAGCTTTCAGGCAAACACTAAAGACACCTTCCTTAAACGTTAGCAGGTGTCAAACAGTTTGTACACCACAGAGTTGGCATCACCACACCGTGTGGCAGTTAACCTTCCAGATTTTGTCCGGCTAAAGGGTGACCCCGCGGGACAGAGGACGCACGAGCAGCCCGGGCACACTCACACAAGCAGCGCTGAGGCTCCGAGACACCGGCGTCACGCACCCAGCTCCTTTAAAGGAATTGTTGTATTTGCAGATGTTTTGATTTGCCCCCCGACTTCTCACCGTGCAGCCGCCCGCTCCTCACGTGAGGACTTACATTAAACTCCTCCCGGAAGAGCTTCCCTTCATCCGCTGATCGCATCCGGATTTCCTCTTCAAGATTTTCCACTGGAATAGGGAAATACTTCTTTGGGCCCGAGGGAGATCTACTGAGCAGCATGACCCGTTGCTGTTCTGTCCATTCAAGGAAAGTACGTGTTAAAGGCACATCCAAGAGCAACAGACAACAAGCTATTTCCAACCACAAATTAATTTTCACGCTAGAAGGTGCCAAACCATATTTCTTGCATGAGACTTCAACCCGTGATAAAGCCAATTTAAATGAAACAAAAAACCAAAACGACAGGCCAAGTGGCTGCCTTGAGAACATAATAAATTCAAGTAGAACCATGATGCTAAAATTAATCACTGCTGTATTTTTATTTATATTTAGAAAAGGAGAAGGTTCCTTCTGCTGACGAAGAGCTGCTCTGCCAGAGGGCAGGGACTGCCCGGACAGCTTTTCATGCCTATCACCACAGAGCTATGCTAGATTATTTCACTTGTAAAGAGGAAAAAACAAACCAAAACAAATCAAAACACCCCCCCCCAACAAAAAAACCCAAAAAAACTTAAACTTGGCAGACAACAGCAGCTCTGCACTGAGACGAGCTGTTACTCCGCTGCCCCAGCTCACCCCAGCCCCAGCCCCCTGCTCCGAGGCAGCACGGTTTGGGACGGGGATTGCTGCCGGCGCTTCTTGCCACCTAGACCTCGGCTCGCAGAGGGAAATAAAAATAAAGCCCCAGGGCACCTTC